TTCATAACTTATTATTTACATAAATTTTACTTAGAGCTCGAACTGTTAATCCTCAGGCTAATTATGCTAAAAAACTTTTACAAAATATTTTTGTGATCTTTTACCCTTCACGTTGCATTAATAAAAACTCAAACTTTGATACAAAATATGCCTAAACAATGTGGTAAATCTTTTTTAAAGCTAATTTTTCAAATTTAATTTTTTTGTGTAGTTACAATAAAATTTAAATTCAATAAAATTTTTGAAAATTTAAATTCAATTTAAAAGTTTTAAAAATTTATGTGTTTTTTTTTTTTAATTTATGTAAAACTTGAAGGTGTAACGTGGCAATTGTTTTATATTTTCAAAAATTAAATTTTAAGTTTCGTTAAAATTTCAAATGTTTGTTTTAATTCCTCAAAATTTAAATGACATTTTAAAGAGTAATGACAATTTTTTTTAATTATTATCTTTTAATTCAAATATTTTTTGTTTTAAATATATGTACATGCATAAGATTTTTAAAATTTAATTTAGTTTTAAAATTTGTTTGTTTTAACTCTGAAATTTGCGTTCATTGAAAGTTTTGAAAATTTAAATTCTATATGAAAGTTTTGAAAATTTTTACATACGTATCTGCTTGAAGGGCGTTTTTGTTTTTATAATTTCAAAAATTAAATTTTATTTTAGTTCTTTATGATTTGTTGAAAATTTAAATTTATGACCAACTATCTGAAAAAATAACACAATTTTTTTTTGAAAATTAAAATTCAATTTAAAAGTTTTGAAAATTTATGAAATTTATTTGATATTTATATACAACTTGAAGGAGTAATATGCTTTTTTTTAATAATTTCAAAATTTTTATTTTACAATTTTAGTTATTTATAATTTTGAAAATTTAAATTGAATTGTAAAATTTGTACAATTTATGGCAAATTTTGGAGCATGTTTTTTTTTAAGTAATTGCAATTTAATATGACGAAAATTTTTAAAAGCTCCTCTGTTGACTCGTAAAATGTGAATTAAATTAAAAATTTATGAAAACTTTCAAGTTTACTTAATACAATTTAAAATGATGTATGTTTTAAAAGCTCCCATTTTGACTTAGTAAAATGTAAACTAAATTTAAAATTTTTGAAAACTTTAAAGCTTTTCTGTTTTTATTTTTAACCATGAATGTATATATTTATTAAAAAAATGGCTTTTTGAAGCCCGCCGACGTTTTTGTTGTTTGTCTTTAGCTGTTCGAAATTTAACAAAATCAAGATTTTAGATTTATAAATCTACGCTTTTTTCAAAAATAAGCATTCTTAAGAAAATGATTTTAGTTAAAATTCCTTTTTACTTTTGTGAAATTTTTAAGAAAGCAAAGTTTGAAGTGGTAGTTTTTTTCTATATTTTATAAACTTCGATTTTATTTTTTTTTTTACAAAAAATTGTTTGGCTTCGATTATTTAAATTCATTAAAATTCATTAAAAAAATTTGAAAAACTTAAATTTTTTTTATTTTTTTTTAATTTCTCTTATAAGCTTAGTTTCACAAAGTTTTTTTTTTTAATTACAGATTACTTTAGCAGCAGCAGCTGACAAATTTGAGAAGAAGGTACGCATCTATTTATTTTTCATTTTCAAATTAGTTTCACCCTCTAAAAAATTTATTTTTACCTAGTTATTACACAAAACTTAAATGTCTTAATAACGTAAGCAATAGATAAAACTCAATCCATAACTTTATTTACATTTTTTTGATACAGCGAGAAGGGTAAAAAGTTTCGACATTTGCCGAAAACAATCCTGTTTTTTCATTTATTTAGCTAACTTCTTTCCTTGTTTCCCTATTGCATTTTGTTTCATTTGACCTTAAGAGTAGCAAAGCTAGGCTTAAATAAAAGTATTTACCATATTTTGGGTAATTAATCCCTGACTGGTATCAGCCGCCCCACTCCCGTCTCAAAGGTAAACCTAATGGAGAAAGGGAAGAAGAGAGAAAAGATAGATAGAATTTTGTTTTGTTTTTGTATGATTTGTAGGGTGTTTGATTTTTTTTCCGAGTGTATCGAGTGTGAACAAATATTGTTTCGTCAAAAATGTAGTGAGAATGTAGTAGAAAGAAAGATAGAGAGAAGAACAGAATTATAGTAGAAGAAGAGCGTTAACGCAAGAATCATTTGAATTACAATTTAACTACGAAATCGAAAATAAACTTTTTATTATTATTGCAGCCAAATTGAAAAGAATTTAAGCCGAGAGTCATATGATTGGTGTATTTGCTTTTTTTTTCTTTGCTTAACCAATAATTTACGGGTATTTATGACAATTTATGAATGATTGGGTTTGTAAATTTACACATTTTTGATGAGCTAGACGGTACAGAAGAAAAACTATGTAATGAGTCCCCTTTTAAATGGAATTAATGTAGTTGATCTTACACATACTATAATTTAAGCCTATACGCTCAGTTATGCAAGCTTAATTTTACTTTGACTTAAGCAATGCCACATAATGATTATATTCAATGAACTTTGTGTATGTATAAGTGTTTAGAGGTTAGCCAACTAATAGTTAGTCATAACTTTACTTTAAAGCTTGAATTTTGATTTTTAAATATAAGAGATATTCGTTTGAATAATGAGCGCGTTAGAGAGGGAGAAATAGGAGCGGAGAAATATGTGCAATTGTTGTTGGGGAACATATCGACATACATAGATACATACGTTTCAAAAGCGAAGTTTGTATATGCAATGGCAACATTAAATTTGCATAACTGAGCCTTAAGCTTACACTTCATTTTCGTACTGACGAAAATGATTTACAGAAAAGTATAGTTATTTACAAATTTCGATGTTTAATGAGTTTGTCTTATACGCATACTTTGTTATGTACAGAACTTAAAACTTATTTAAATTTATTTTTCTTATTACATATAATTATTTATTAATTAGAAACTTATTGTAGTTGTAAATATTTGTTCAAATAGAAATATAATAAAAAAAAAATTATTCTGTTTGAGGAAGTGAAACTAAAGCTCGAGCGTTTAAACTAAGATTAAACCACAGTCAGATTTGAGCGTGCACTGAAAAATCGGCCCTAAGTCAGTGGTAGTAACTCGTATATGTACATAGCATAGCAGCAAAACTCTCGCGAGTTGTTTTTAGTGTCACTCCCTTCTTCCGGCAGAAAAAAAAAACGCTAAAGCATCCTGCTTGCATTTATTTCCATTAATGGAGTTCCAGAAACAAGTACAATAAAAAATTAATCAAGTATTTGAACAATTTTAGCCTTAAAACGTTTATTTAGGCGAAAATAAAATTTGTTTCGTTCACCCTCGAAAAAATCGTAATGGATTTTTTTTTTTTAATAACTTTGGGAAGTTTTCAAATAGAAAGTTCATATTAAGGGCAATGATAGTTGGCATCAAATACAGCATATTTGTGTAGTTTCAAGAGTGTGCCACCAAAAAAAAAAACAAATTTTGTAACTTTAGAAATTCAACGATTTTTTAAGTTTAAGCTACTTCAAAATATCAACATTAAACGGTGAAAATGTCCTTCTCGCCAAAACGAACAAATCTAGAGTGATAAAACTAGCGTGCCACCAAATGCAAAAAAAAATTATACTGATTATGAGATGACGATGATTTGCGAAACAAAAATTCCAATTTTACAATTTTTTAGTGGCACGCTCGAAATTCGTTCTTAATGTACATGACGAACTTAATACAAATCTGCGTGAAGAATTTTGTAGAAAAATATTCCGTGTCAATATTTAATTACTTTTAAATAATATGACTTTTAATTTAAGGCGTGCGAGTAAACGTTTTAGCTGACACTGTATGTAATTTTGATACATCAAGGAGCGTAACACCTCCCATACAAACTGAACTTTTCATACTGATTATCTCTAGAAAATACACAAAATGTGTTTGATGTTACACTCAACCCTGGAAAGGGAACGTTTCTGCATTCTAGTCCTTGCTTAGCTAACGCATTTCATAATATTGTCGTTTTGCGCAACCATTATTTCCAGGACTACCACCTTCCCTGACAAAGCTTCAAAGGGAGAGTCTTGTCGTGTTGATTACGTGGTGGCACATACTCTCAACCAACACCGTCCTCATGCGCTGAAATACTTGGTTAATTATTTTATTCAATCGAAACAGAGAAAGGACTCCCCAATCTTGGGTACGCCTGCTAACTGTCCTCCGAATTACAACACCTCTAGCTCCGAACTCGCCACCCTGTTGGTGAACAGTTGCTGCATGAGAACAACTGGCGACTTGTCTAACCGGGGAGCTGCCATGTCTAAGGTAATTGCGTCTAAGGTAAATAAAGCAATACTTCAAAAAAATTTAGAATTCGTATAAAAATATTACCATCTATGTAGCCTATTTATATAAATCAATAAGCCAATGAATACCTCATTTTAATATTAAGTTAACTTATAGCTAAAATAAATGGAAGGATTTGTTCGTGTTGAAGCGTGCAGCTAAAATTAGAATGATAAGTAAACGAAAAAAAAAAAGATCCAAAGAGAATTATAAGTAAACAATTGTGTATGCAACATTTAAAGCGGTCACTACTTAGTTTTTGATAATTATTAGTTTATTATACATAGATTGGTTGGTAGCATTAAAACTAAAGTTTTTTTTTGTTAGTATTTTAGTAGTCATTCACAAACATAAACATACATACATAAATAAACGAACATACATACTTTACATCGCTATATACATTTATTTACTACTTTGGGGAAAAGTTACACAGTTTGTTAATTTTTTTTTTGAATTTTCAAGGATCATCTATACGTTTAATAAAAAAAAAAAAAAAATACACCAATCGTAGACGACTGAGAAAGTGAGCAAGCGTACGTACAAGTTCACCTACTAAACATTCAATTTAAATTCAAATGAGTTTTAATCATATTTTGTTATAGCAAATTTGCCGTGAAACATCAATAGATATGTCAATACAAGTACATAAGGCTTATGACATTTTTCAAATCATCAAAAAAAAACTTACCTTCTTGACGCTGCGAGTTGTCGAAAAGCCATCGCCCCGACGATAATTATCACCCTGAATAATAGATGAATTTATTTTGTATTTTATAAGGAAAAAATACGACTTTATTTTTTGTTAATATAAATACATGTATATGTTTATAGGAGCACAGTGGCGGTCATAAAAATTAGGATACACAAAACTATTTAGAAAATGAAATATTTACGCTATTTTTACGTTCAAATATTTTGGAAAAAAAAAATCGTTTTTGCTTGAGAAAATTCATTTAAAAATAATGCGCTTAGTTTGTGTTTTTTCAAATATTGCACATTTTCCTGGCTTTTTTTTTTATTTTTTTTTTTGTGGAAATACAGTGGCGGACATAAAAATTACTACCGCCCAAAAAATGTTTTATGCAAAATTAATGTCATCTGCTTTTTAGCTATTTCCATTTACAAATGTATTTAGTGAAAAATTGCAAATTTTTTTGAAGTCCTAATCGTATTTGTCATGATAAAAATCATAGTAAGGTAGAACCGTTCTCTCAATTCGTCGGCCATGATTTTTTTTTGAAGTTTTGCGGCATTTAGAAAAAACTAAATTGTTCAAAATTGTTGTTGCTTGAAATTGAAAATGTAAATGTGTGTGTGATTTTGTGAGTAAATTTTAAAATTAAACGTCAAGCGTTTACTTCGTTCTTTTCGCCTTTTTGCAATATTTTAGTATTTTGTATATGTATGTTTTTTGAAATGTTATGAGAGATTTTTAAATTTTCTCAAGTCCAAATCTCATTTATTTGAGAAAATTAATTTAAAAAAAACTATGAGTTTGGTTTGTTCTTCTCCCCTTATTACAGAGATAATATATTATTCTTGCATTTTTTTTTAGCTTTTTGTATACCTACAGTAGCGATCAACAAAGCTACGCCAAAAAAAAATTTTTGTATGAAAAATTAAATGGCTATGTCTTTTAGCTCTTTCTATTTCAAAATTTTGTGTAAAATTTCTAGAACTTTTTATAATCCGAGTTGTTTGCAAAAAGTGTTTCTTATAAAAAATGCAACATTATTGCTTCGCTCTTTGTTTCTTTTTTCAAAGTTTGTGATTTTTCCTTCAATATTTATTTTTTATGCGTACAATGGCGGTCATAAAAATGGAGTGCCTAGCACTTTAAGCTCTTTCTATTTTCAAATACTTTAAATAATTTCTAGAACTTCTTATAGCCCAAGTCAGGGTTTGGAAAAACTATTTCTTGTAAAAAAAGCAACATTATTGGCCTGCTTTCCTTTTCCTAATTTCAAGGTTTGTGATTTTTTCTTGAAATTGTTTTATTTTTATGAGAAGAGTGGTGATCATACAAATTGCGACCGCCCAAAAATTTCTTTAGTAAAAATTTAAATTTTATTTTGACTAGCATATTTTTCTTTCAGATATTAAAATAAATTTTCCATAAGAAATTCAGAAATTACTTTTCTCTAAAAAAATTAATTTATTCGACTTAATTATTTTGAAACATCGTGCAGTGGTTTTATATTTTTTTTGTTTTATAAAGAAAGCACCAAAAGTTTAATTTAATAGAGCAAAATTTAGAACATAAATTTTTATAGGCTCGCACATGGTTTCAAAGTGGTGTATGTAGTTGATTTTAATTATAAGCCGCAATATTTTGAAGATAAAGCTTAAAAAAAAGAGGTGACGAAATTTGATTTAAAAACCTTTTCTGTGCCTCATAGCGCCGATGCGGTTTGACCAACTACATACATACATATATACATGTGTATGCATTCATATGCATACGCAATGTGACACTTCCCAACTAGATTAAAAATAGCTAAATAAAAGTTAAAATTCATAGGTTTCCTAATTTTTGTGCCCACCACTGTGGATGTGTATATTTTTTCTATTTAAAAGTTAATTTAATTTTTTTTTTTTAAGCTAGATATGCCATCATCCAACGAACACTTACCATCACCTGATGCGATCGCAGCGTGCCAAAATTGTCGCGACCGCGATATGTCTGTTGAGTATTATAGCCATCAGGCTGGAACTGGAAGAGCGTTTCTGAGTTGGGTCCATGATGATGCATGGGCTTACGTAGCGTATTTTTCGGCGAGTGTTGGATTTTATTTTGTGGTGGCGGCTGTGGCAACAGCACCGGTTCGGCGTACGTCACCTCCTCCACTTGAGGTAGCAGCTTGGGCTCGGCTTGAATGCTGAGCAAAGAAGGTAAAACGGAAAGAAGGTTAATATACTTACATACATATATGTACATCGGTACATTAGACCGCACCACCTTACAATTAAGCAAAAAAAAAGTCTCTTTTCATATGACCCTAATGTCAGTAAATTAAAGCTAGCCAAAAATTATTAAACTGCTGGGAAAGAAGTGTTTTGATGAATTTAAATTATTTAATAATTAAAAAAGCTCGGTAAAAAAATTCCAAACTGCATTGCAAAAAAAAAAGTAGACTTTAGGGTGAACGGCGGACTTATTTTTGTTTGCTGGTAAGGTGGGACGGTCTAATGCATATACAGTCACCCCCAGAAGTATTCATAACTTAGTTTTTTTTATAGTATTCAAAATGTTTTCCATCATAAATCTTTTTCGTAAATTTTTATTTTTACAACTCATTCAAACTTTGTTCAAAATTCACTAGAATTAATCAAACTTCAAAAAATTTTCATCAAATTTTCAAACATTTTAGTCGGAGTTTTTAGAAAATTTACAGTTATATAAAGTGCCGGTGTAATAAAGAGCGAAATTCAAGAAGCTAAAAATTACCGTTGATTTCTTAGATTTAGAATCTATTTATATATGGAAGAAAATTCGCTACAGCTTCCACAAAAGACATGTAAAAAATCAACGGTACAACTTTTGCTTGCATTTTTTTACTTTTTTTTTTTTAGTACAGTAGTGGACATAAAAATTACTACCGTTTAAAATAATTACAGTTCTTTACAAAAAATTCTGATTAAAAAGTTTGAAATTTTGATGCAAATTTTTGGAAGTTTTATTATTTTTAGTAAATTTTGTACAAAGTTTGCAAGATTGATTTATATGGTTTTCGTTATAGAATGAGCTATATTTTAAATGAAAATTAACGAAAAATATGTATACTGTGAAAAAACTAAATTACGAATATTACTGTGAGTTACTGTACTTATATTTAGTTAAAAATAGCTTTGTTTTAATAGAGTTCTACAAGCAACTGTCAGCAAATTACCGATTAATATTTTGACGCTGTTCAAAGTACTCATACTCCGTATCGGGATATGGCAGATTGTCATCCTCATCTTTATGACAGCGACGGCCACAGAAGTAGCCTGTAAAGAAGCCCACTAGAAGGGAGAAAATTGAGCCAGCTAAGACGGCCATAACCAGCGTTTCGACGGTATACTGCGCATTGATAATATCTGCTGAAATTTGTGGACCTTTTTTAGTAGTTTCAAATTTTGCAAAAGTGATAACATTTCATAGTTTGTTTTTTTTTTTTGGCGGTAGATATTGTGTAATAACATATTTTTCGTTGATACATTTGTGGTAGAATTAAACGATTTTTTTTTGTGTGTATGTTCATGTTCGGCAACGCAAGTGTTTTTTTTTTTAAATGTTGTTTTGTTTTTAATGTTGTGTTGGGCGTACAAAATCAAAAATACCAATACCAACACCAACATCAACATCAACAGAGCAACAACAGAGTGTATGTAACAGCAACAGCAACATCAACAGCAACGATTATGTTACGCACGACATCATAAATATGTAACATTGAGTTGGATTATGTTTAACGCCAAGATAATATTTGTTTTTATTTTTATTTATTTTTTGTTTTATAAAAAGAAAAGAAAAAAAAGGAGAATAAAGTTAAACGTCAATAATTAAACTGCAAAAGGATATAAAATGTGTGCTTTGGGTTTGGTCTTTTAGAGGAAGGGTAGATACTTATATACATACATACGTAACAGTGTAAGGAAGAAGGCTAATAACAAAATAAATTCGCTTGAAAGTAAAAATCTACTAAATAAGATGCCAGAACCATTAATTAACATGCATATATACGTGTAAATACATTGTAAACGATATCGAGCCCTAACCGCAAAAAAACGTAAACGACATTTTTTCAAAGTTTTTTTTTTCCGAAGCTGAAATTCATCCAAATGCTCTGGGAGCACCTCTGCATTAACAAAAAATATTAAAAAAAAAAATGCCGCTTACTATTTTGGCGATCAGGGCGCGCTGATTACTCAACTCTATAGAATTACTACATAATTCCACAATTTAAAAATATATCTATGCATAAAAAAAGCTGTTTTATTATTTCTTTGAATTAATGTCATCTAACTAATTAGTTAACGGTGATAAAATATGCGCGCAGTTTACGAATGCAACTAAGGTGAGTTTCTTCGCAAGCGATCGATAAGGCGACGACATTTTCTTAAGTTTATTCAAATGCAATAGCAGCGATCTCAGCTTCCTTCCCGTTTGACAAAAAACGCCCATAATCAAGCATCACCTCAAATGTTAAACACAGCAATACCTGATATGCAAGTAAGAGCGCTACCTTGAAATATTTCCCAATAAATTTTACCACTCGTTTGGTGGAGTTTTAGCGAAGTTACTAGGACGTTGCTGCTTACATCTAAGCCACAGGGTGTATTTGCGTTTGTCGTCTTGAGCGCGAAAATCGGTGACTTCTTAAATCGCAAGCTTAAATTTTACAAATGTTTCTAAATAAAAAAGTTAGGTACTATTTGAGGCTTTAGAAAATTTAGATTTTGTTTAGTAAGTCTACAAGGAAGTTACCAGTTAACGGTACAAGAAAAGAGTATTGAAAATAGCGTGAAACATCTCCATTACTCATCCAGATCTGAACCGATTTTATTAGGGATGATGCCAAATGAAATTGCATAGGTCGGCGCAGTGTCCTATAGCTTCCTTTAAAAGAAAAAAAGCCCCGCGTCTATGTAGTTTTCCGACAAAGGGATGCTCGGGTATGGTTTTTCTGAAATAGCAGTTCTGCGTTAGGCTAGAAAACACCACTAAGCGATGCACTTTCCATCGATACCTATATCGCCACAATCGGTCCATATTTGGCCGAGTTATAACGATTTTTATGCCAGATG